GGTTTCTAAAAAAAAATTCGTCATATATATATATTTTTTTTATTTTAAAACAGAAGACAATCGAGTAAGAGAGGGGAAGAGGGGGGGGGAAAGAGAGAGAAAAAAAATGTAAGAGAAGCATAAAATTATTTCGTTAATAATTTAATTTACGTCACAAAGAAAAAAAATTTTAATGACTTTTTTTTTGAGATTCACACTAAAAAGTTGAATTTAATGAAATCAATTTTGTTAAGGAAATACAAAAAAAAGATAAAAAAACTAACGGGCGCCATATTGTTTTTTTTTATTTAAAAAAAGTCGCAGTCGACATGATTTTCTTTTTTTTTTTTTTTTTTGTTAAAATTTTCGATTTCTAAGCAATCATTCAAAATTTCTAGAGAAATATGTTTGTCGCCTAAAGCTCATTTCCTGTTGTTGCTTCATTTCCTTTTCTGCTTGTTTTCCTTCGATTATTACCTTTAGACTTTGACCGAATTTTCCTTTTTTTCCTTTTTTCCTTTAAATATAAAACTTGTACGTTGCGTTTATTTAAATAAACACATATTTAAAAACACAAAATATCATTATCGATTGAAAAAAAATAATCAATAATTTTTCATCCGTCTATAAACGCGCTATAAATTTTCCAAATTTTCATTTTTTTTTTTTAAATTATTTATAGCAAAAAAAAATTTTTCAAAATTACATATAGCCATAATAAAAATAGTTACTAAGTAAGGTATAAATTGTTTTTTTTATAGCAAATATTTTATTTATAGACAATTACTCTTTTCGATTGAATAACAAACTATATCTCTATATATACATTTTTTTATTATATAAAATGATTTACTATTTCTTTTGTTAATATCATCATTATTATTATTATTACCGAACGAACAAATGAAAAAATAAAAAAAATCGATGAAATTATAGACTATAAAAAAATAAAATAAAAAAAATTTATAGTTTTAATTGAATCGTAAACGTATATCTAATCAATAACAGATTTGTTTCACGTGTATTTTTTTTTATCATTATTATTATTTTTATTATTAATAATAATGATGATGATGATAAAGATGATGATGATGATGATGTAATAATCGATAGCAATTAATTAAAAAGTGTGAAACGGAGGAGGGGGAGAGGGAAAAAAGGAAAGAAAAACATTTTATTTTCTTTTCCTTTTTTTAAAAAATTGATATATTTATAAAAAGGAAAAAAAAAGGAAAAAAGGAAAAGTTAGTGTCAAATAAATAAATAACATTTAATTTTAAAATTTATGACGTAATAAATAAATAAATAAATAAATAAAATTGAAAAGTTTTTTTTAAAGTCTTTACAAAAGTCATAAAAACTTTTTTCTGTTATTTTTTATACCTGGATTTTTTTTTTTTAAAGATTTCAACGGGATCATTTAGTTTTTTCTTTTTTTTTTGTTTCCTTTTTGTTCTAGAAACATTTAAATAAATAAATAAATAAATTTATTTACCTTTGTCCCTATCTCTCTGGTCGATATGCCCATTTTTTCATGATGTCTGAGTTGAACCGGATATATAATTTGATAATAATGTGCTCCGATATTTTTAACGAGTTCTTGATTTTGACGATATTCTTTAAGAAGTCTTTCCACTTCTCCTAAAAATAATAATAATAATAAATTATTATTAGTCGTATTTTTATTTTCCGCACCGGAAATGCAAAACTAAATTTAAAAAAATCTTGTTTTTTTTTGACTTTGACGTCAGAGAGCAATAAAATCCGTCATAGTTATGTATGTATGTATACACTTTCTTTCATTTCCGTTTTTCAAACGGGATAAATCCCGAGATTGTGTTTAAAATTAACTTGAATATTTTAAGAATTTGAATTTAAATTTCACATAATTTACATTATTAACACGGGTAAAATTTAAATTTTTCTGTCGTTTTTTTTTTTTTTTTTAAATAAAAATGGCGGCAAATATT